CCATTCTGCTTTCCACAGGGGTTGCACCATTTTACACTCCCACCATATGTTGTTCCTTTTGATGTCATCCCACATGATTCTAATATTTTCATTTTCTTTATGTCTCAACTCTGATTTTTCTTCTAGTATATTTCTATTGAGGCTCTGGTCCTCCAGTTCACTGACTCTCTGTTCTATTTCTATGTTTTTGTTCTAAAAGTGTTTTTTACACTTCTGCCATTTTGGTCCTAATATTCTGAATTGCATTTTCATGCTTTTCTATTGTTTCTAGTACCTTATCGGCTATACCCTTTCTGTCCTGTGATGATTTTTAAAGTTCTGTACCTCTTTACCAATACTATCAACTCTTTCTTTCATATTTTTCATTTTCTTCCATAAGTGTCCAAGTTGATCCTCATCCATATATTTTTCTGGGTCAGGGTCTCTTGGGAATGTGCTCTCTTAATGGCTTCTATTGTTTCTTCCATCATTTTCAACTTCTGTAGCTGTTCAAGTAACTCCACATCAACACATTTCTTCTGGTTCTCTTTATCGAGGGTATTCATTTGGGTGGCTTTTTTAGGAGAAGCATTATTTTGTCTTTTTCATAATGACTGAGGCAGACTGCTGTTTTCTTGACATTATGCAAGTCTTTTGTTAGTAGATGTTACCTGAGTATTGGTGATCCCCTCCTGTCTTCCTGAAATGGGATGACTGTTGACCTCCAGAAACTGTGGACCTACCTGACCTATTCTGCTTGAGCTTATGAAATCCCATGTGATGTAGCTAGACAGCCATATTCAAGGCCAAAGTACCTCTCTTCTCTACTCTATGAGACAGTTCATTGGCAGGTCCTTGACGTCATTCTTATAATAATTGAAGGGGACGTCTTGACGGGATTTTGTATGTTGATTATTCACCCCCTCCTTTTTTTGCCCAAGGGCTACAGACCCTTGGGCCCTTAGCTGCAAAAGGAATCAGGCAAGTACAGTGGTTGGGAGGTGGAGAGTGAGTGGTAGGTGTTTCCCACATTCGCAGGAGATTGGCTGATCTCTCTGCAGGGCCCCACCCTGGTTCCAGGAGCTGAGATGTGTGTAAATCTCTCTCTCACCTGAAAAAGCAAACAGCCCTTTGATCCAATTTGGTGCCTCAATTTATCATCTTCGCTTTTCAAAATTTCAGAATCAGAGCTTTGCAAGGAGCAAACATTCTGTCATTAATTGGAGCCCTGTTGATGGGATTTTCAAAACTGGGACCATCTCACATTCTTATCATTTCAGGAAGAAGTGTATCAGGACTCTACTGTGGTAAGTCTTACATACAAACACACAATCTTTGAAAATTTTTCTAAAGGAGGATGCAGTGGGATTTTCTAAATTTAAAATAGACTCATAAAAAGGACAAGAATAAGACAAATTCCTAAGAGAAGTTTGCAGTAAGTGGGAATTATTCTTGTCCATGGCAATGATATCCTTTCTGATTTTACAGTCTCAAATTAGCTTTGGTCAGCTAGTGGTAAGGAGTTGCACTGCCAACCCAAAGGCACAAGGTTCTAATCCACCAGCTA